TGTTCGGGGTCGCCAAGGTTTTCTGGACTGGGCGGCCAGGGTCTAGGTCTCAGGCAGTCAGCACCGTCGCAGCCCACACGTGGCTGCAGGTGACACGCAGACGGGCGGGCCTGGCCGGGCTCCCGTGACACTTCACCAGCAAAACACAGTGTGGCCGGGTGGGGGCAGCACGGCAGAGAAGTCAAGAGGGCTCCCGGCCTGGAGGGCACACACGCGGCGAGGGCATGGCCGCCTCCTAGCCGTCCTGGGCCCAACACGCCTGTGGCTGGAGCGTGGGTCTTCCTAGAGTCCGACAGAAGGCCCACATCCTCCTCCCACCCACACTCGGCATTTCAGCTCCTTACGCTGAAGGAGCCCCAAGTTGAGGAGGTCTCTCTGGGGACCCCCCACACTGGCCTTCTCGCGTTTCATCACCGCAGGAGCCCGGGCTGTGGGTGCACTTCCAGTGTGCGCTCTTGGAACTTCCCCCCTCTGTCGGTAACCGTGCACAGGGTGGGGACTCAACAGGCAGTGACGGGGGACACACGGTGTGGCTCCTGGGGTTTTGGCCCATGGCCATGGCGGTGCTCTGCAGGGCTTGGATAGGCCCCAGCACTTACACCCGCCTGCAGCCTCAGGTTATGGCCTGGTGTGGATACGAATCTCCTCCGGTGAGCGCACGCTGGGTTAAGGTGGGCCTGACCCCAGCTGGGTCCTCGTAGGATGGGGTAGACTCGCAGGGACACATGAGGGAGAAGGTCATGTGACGGTGACGTGGCCACAGCCCAGGAAGGCCGTGGCCACAGCCAAGGAATGCCAAGATGGCCAGCGACCACCAGAGGCCGAGGCCCTTGGAGCCTCTGGAAGGAAAGCCCTGCGCGCCATGGTTGTGGCCTCGGGAGGCATGTGTGTGCTGCGGGAACCCGCCTCCAGGTTGCGGCACTGTGGTGGTATGGACCAAGAGGGCTCCGGAGAGTCTGAGTGAGACAGTCAGTGTCCCCCTGTTTGCTCCTGGAAGACACTGAGGGCTGTGGCTTTGACCTGAGTGTTTCTCCCGGACCTCTAGAAAGACACTGCACGGCCTGGCGGCGACGCGGCAGCCTTGGCAACCGAGACCATCTGAGCTGAGCCGTGGAGTGGCTGTGCAAGAGAGCTCAGTTGCCAGCAGATCTTCTCCCACTTAGACGTCTTCAGAAAGCCCCAAATTTTGAGAAACCTTAAACGTGTTCATCTCTGTGAAATGAGAAGCGTTACCCCTGGGAACCGACAGAGAAAGTTTAGCCAGAGCTGAGCAGCGGAGGGACTCTTCCTGCCCTACAAAGCCGCAGCTTGGGAACCTGACATTAAACTTGCAGTGAAAAAACCCGGTGTTCCCACCCCTTCTCCCGGCTCCCATCCAGCTGTGTCTAAGCTCCCAGGACGCAGGGAGCACGAGCCAGCATCTACATCCCTTGTACGAGGACACGTGCTGGTCAGGGTTCTCTAGGGAAACGGGACCGATGGGGTGTGTATGTGCATGCACAGGTGTGTGCAGGTGTGTACATGTGCACGCATGCATGTCTGCACACGTGAGTGTACGTGTACAGGCATGTATATGTGCACATGTGCACACACACGAGTGCATGTGTGCGTGCACAGGTGTGTGCAGATGTGTATATGTGCATGTGCACATATGTGCACACGAGTGCATGTGTGCATGCACATGGGTGTGCAGGTCTTTATATATGCACGTGCGTGCACGTGTGACTGCATGTGTGCGTGCCTGTATATGTGCATGTATGTACACACATGTGCACGCGTGACCACACACGCACGTGTGGGCACACATATGCGTGCGCATGTATGAAAAAGCCAAGGGGAAGGAGGGAAAAAAGGGATCTCTACAAACTGGCTCATAGGCCAGACAGGGGGGCCCGTCCCTCTGAGGGCTGAGGCAGGATAGCAAGTTCAAAGCCAGCTTGGGCAACAGAGAGGACCTGGGCCTGAAAAGGGAGAAAAAGAGAAAAGAGAGAGGGACGGAGGGCCGCGAGGTGGCAGAGGCTGGCAGCCTGAGTTACGCGGAGTAAGCGACAGGCCGGAGACAAGAAAGGCGCCTCCTGACCTGTGCCTGGGGTCCGGGGCTGTCGGAGCAGGACTCTCCTCTGCAGAGGACCTCAGTCCTTTCTCCTGAGGCCTTCAAGTGAGCGGGAAGGCCCGGCACGCCATGGAGGGCTCCACTCCAAGCCAAGGGTGCAGATAGCCGCATCTCATAAAGACCTTCACTACAACAGCGAGGCTGATATTTCCCCAAACATCCGGGCACCACAGTCACCCCAGACTCCCACTGCGCGTTCAGTGACATAACGGAACGAACGTTCTCAATGCGACCGTCGCCTTGGGGTTCTGTGCCCAGATTCTGTTAAGCTACGAATGTGCTCCCTGGAAATCCTTGGGGTGGGGGGGTTGTTTGCTTAGTTACCCTGAGGCTGACTCTGGGGAGACTTTACCGTAGGTGTTCTCAGGAGGGCCTGGGCAGCGTAAGCGGGAGAACACTTCTTCCTGGGGCTGGCTCATTCTGGAGGAGTCAGGAGTGTGAGGTGAGGTTTATGGTGGGCGTTACCTCCTGGCCAGGAAATTGGCTCCTGGGGGTTTTGGTTAGGCGTTGGTAGCAGGGGCTGTCTGGGACGGCCTCACAGTGCTGCTGGCTGGGAGGTGGTTCTGGTTTCTCTTTTCTTATCTTAATTTTTTCGCACATCCATCTTTCCTCTTTTGTCCCTCCCTAATAAAATAAGTTATATCATGTGCAATAAAATCCTCTGTAAAAATAACTTCAGGCTATGGGCACTGTGAGGGTGAGTAATGATTATTGGGCTCCAGTGTGTGAAGGCGACGGCTTGGGAATCAGAAGCCAGTGGCTGACAATTCCGGGAGCGGGTACCTGGCCCCAGGTAGAGTGTTCTGGACAGAGCAGATGGACAGTGACATCTGTCACTTCCTGGAACAATGGCCTGATACAACATGGCATGGTTGGCTTGATCTCTGAGGAGACCTGGCAGACACTGTGCAGAGGCAAGGCGACCTTTGGTGATGTGAGGCTGGCTTGAACATGGCGGATGGTCCCTTGGGCAGGGGACATCCCTCAAATTCCAGCTCGCTCCTCGGGAAGTCCCACGCATTCCACTCCTAAAGCCTTTTCTCTTTTCTCTTACAAAGAACACCACTGGAAAATAAAGCTTTGGAGAAACCTTTAAATACTTCCCTAATATCCGTCTGGACTCCAGCTAGCTGCTCGGCTCTGCCGTGTGGGTTAGGAAGGAGCCGGCGGGGGGC